CTTAGTAGCGATCAGTGAAGTTCGCTTCACTGTATCTCGCTGTATCATGATGACGATGATCCTGACAGTAACCATCCATCAAACCGGAATGCATACACAAACAAAAATAATTCCGTACTGCATCGGTCGTTGCGCATGATAATCAAGACTGCACTGCCCATTGCACCGAGCGAGGTGGATAGTCATAAGTACGCTACTGCTCAGATATCTCAACCTTTGTGTAACTCTTTATCTTCCCTACCCAACCCTTGACGCCTTGTTCCAACCCGTAACATTCCCTCAACCACATGGGCAACCAAAAAGATAGCAATCAAAACCAGTGCAAGATAGTGCATGGTGGATTTACTACAAACTGAACTGAACTCAAACAACCTGTTCGCCACTTGCCAAAGTTTGCTACCAAGCAGCCCGGTAAGTAGTTTACCACAAAATAGATGGCAGATTCTGAAGCCTCGTCAGCCACTGAATCTGGGGGCCTACCCTGATGCGGGTAGGTCAACAAGCGTGTCTGGCGCGTGCCATGGACTCTGGGCATTTATATCTGCTGCATATCGGAGACGCGAATCCAGGATCCTACTACCATAAGCCACCTAATTGCACCGGGGTTGTCTTCGAAGTTCTTCCTCCGCAAGTCAGGTGAAGACGAAGCCCATTCAGTAGGCCAGCGTGTTGTCTGCGTTACACTCAACAATACAGCCGAAGCCTCACTACTCGATCGGATCCCCGTAAACAGTCGTTTATGCTTATGCGATGCGGCTCCAAGAGTCTATCAGCGTCCGGAAGGGAAGCAACACCAAAAGGTGTTTATTCATCGTTTCGGCGTATGCACCGACCAACTGCAGTTCTGGCACACAAAAGGACGCTTTTTATGATAAACTCACCGAACTCATTCGGTTGAGTCGAAGCTCCGATATGGTTGTTCTCGCAGATGATTTCAACGCTCAAGTTGGAAAACTGAGCGCATCCGAAGCTTGCCTAGGTGGTCATTGTGCACTGCCCTGCCAGTGAACAGATAATGGCGATCGAATTCTTCAGTTCTGCGAAGATCATCATCTGTTCCTATCCAGCACCAACTTCCGACACAGCTCTCAACGGACAGCAACGTGGCGCTCAAATTCAACTGCCACACTAACTCAGATCGACCACATAGCAGGAAGCTACCGTTGGCGTGACTCAGTATAAAACTGTAGGTCCTATTGGACCACCTGCGTTGAATCTGATCATGCGTTAGTTTTGATACAGTTCGCTGTCCACCTCACCGGTCGTAGAAAATCTCACCAAACTCGATTGGCAGATCATCGCTTATCTGACTCAGCCGTTCGTGCCTATTTTGAATCAGAACTAGGGCAAGAGCTAAACGCGCTGCGGAGTGGTAGTGTAGGCGAACAATGGGATCAGATTAGACGAGCACTGCACTCCGCTACGAGAGTTGGTTGTGGATCTGCAGCGGTAGCCCGACCGAGCCATTGGATATGCGACGAGTCAGTATTACTGATAGAGAAAAAGCGACAAATCTCGGCCGCCCGGTATCAAGGCAGGGTTAGGTAGCGTCTGCAACGTCAACTCAAGGAAGACCGTGAGAACTGGTGGGCAACGATAGCTAGTGAAATGGAAGCAGTAGCTGCATCAGGGAACAGTCAAAGACTGTTCCAACTGATACGCAACACGAGAGGCCGGCGAACCACAGTTAGTGAAACAATCTGCGACAAAAGTAGATAAGCTATTCGCAATAGGAAACAACGGCTTGACCGGTGGGTGGAGTATTTCAACGAACAGTTCAGTTGGCCAGGCGCCAACCGGGCTATCTCTGGTGTAGCTGAGGCTCCGCTGGCAGTCATCTAGAATCTCCTACTGAAGGAGAAGTTCGTTCTTGCATCCAAGCATGACAATGCCCACGGAGCTTCAGTCGGAGATCAAGCAGTCTGGTTAGCACTAGGCCAACTGAACTGTTCGCTGAAATATTCTGCCCAGCGATCGAGTCGTTGATCCCTAATGTGAATAGCTCGTCCCCTCTTATCGCAGACTGTTTCACTAACTGGGGTTCGCCGACCTCCCGTGTTGCGTATCAGCTGGAACAGTCTTTAACTGTTCCCTGGTGCAGCTACTACTTCGATTTCACTAGCTATTGTTGCCCACCAGTTCTCACGGTCCTTCCTGTGGCTCTTCGTGAGCCGACGTTGTAGCTGCCGCCTGACTGTATTTTGATCCTAGCAGGTCGGGACTTGCTGTTTTTTCTCCATCAAGGCTCCTGGCTCCTGAGATATCCAATGCCTCCGACGGGTTTGAGGCTCAGATCCACAAGCAACATTCGCTGCGGAATGCATTGCTCGCC